TCTTTATCGCCTTTATCGCACACTGTCGTCACTCTGCAGCGATCTGACCATCACTGTCAGACTAATAGATCTCTGCTTATTCTGCTTATGAATATTTTGTATTTGTTTTTTATTTTACATTTTTATTTGAATACGCCCATATGGATTTCACCTAGGGTGTCAAAATGGCTAGAAACGGCCCTGAATGAAGTTTTTTTTTTTTTTTTTTTTTTTTTCCATCTGAAAATGAAAGTTTATGCAAGTAAAATGATTGTTTGTTTGAACCAAAACAAATTACTATTAAATTCCTTTCATTCCAGTTGGTAGTTCTCGGATTATATTTTAATGAGAGGTTGCTGATTGGCTACAGTATGGTTTTAGTTGAAAAATATTACGTTATGATAGTTTAAAGATTTTGAATGCATTATGAGGGTTAACCTCATTTTTTCCGCGCTCATGTTAACGGATTAAAGCGTTCTATCGCACACCCCTAACTACCAAGTATAATCAATGTCACACACACAAACAAGCACAACGAACTCACTTCACACTATTAAGCGGCTGTGTTATGAACATGCAAAACTGTATCGCACGCGTGCTACAGTGGTAAATGTATTAATCGCACAGACCAGTTTTTTCGTAGCACGTGCGACATATGTCACACTGTACAGCCCTGATATCTAGAAGTAAATGCAAAAGTAAAAAGCATTGAATAATGTGTTGATTATTTATTGTTTAAACATGTCTGTGAAAGATTGTATTACTGTACTGTGTAAAAGAAAAGAATTGCAATGCTGAAAAAGCGTTTTCAGTGACAATGTTTGGATTTGAAATCAGAGTAATGGATAAATGTTGTGTTTGTGGTAAACGGCCACGGATCAGTAGTGGACTGCTGTGTGAAAGCTGCTTCACAAGAGACACCTAAGGGGAATTCCCCACATTTTCAAAAATGAAATTCAGGCCCGGAGTAAATGCCTAAAAATCCTGATTGGAGTATCACTATAAATAGTTATAAATGATTAAAAAAAAGGCTTTAAAGGATCGGTATCTGCAGATACTGATCGGAGCACCCCTAATTACATTAGTTCACCCAAGTTTTCACGTATCCTCATGTCGTTCCAAACCTGTACGACTGACTGACTTCGGTTGAACACGAAGAATATATTTTAAAGAATGATGGAAACCAGAACAGAGTTGTCAGAAACTTTCATTTTTGAGTGGACTTTAGCTGGAAGTCGTTGAGCACAATTATAGTGATTTGATTACTTTGGTTTTCTGGTTTGTCTTCCCTCAGGCGCGTGCGTGGCAGGATCAGATCCGTGAACTGGAAGCGGCTCTGAGCCGCGAGAAGGATCTGAGCCGCAGGTTACTGGCAGAGAAAGAGCGAGAGATCGCAGAGATCAGAGCCAAGATGCAGCAGCAGCTGGACGAGTACGAGCAACTGCTGGATGTCAAGCTAGCGCTGGACATGGAGATCAACGCGTACCGGAAGCTGCTGGAGGGAGAGGAGGAGAGGTGAGGCTGGCTCTGAGTGTAGTGTGCTGTGTGGCTGGGGACTGGCGGTTTAACGGTCAGTTAATACGGTTAATGTCTCTGTCAGGCTGAAGCTGTCTCCCAGCCCCTCGGCTCGTGTGACGGTGTCCCGGGCCTCCTCCAGCCGCAGCGTTCGCACCGCGCGAGGGAAGAGGAAGCGTGTGGATGTGGAGGAGTCCGAGACCAGCAGCAGCATCAGCATTGCTCACTCCGCGTCTGCCACTGGAAGCGTCTGCATCGATGAGCTGGACGTGGACGGGAAATTCATCCGCTTGCACAACAGCTCTGAGCAGGTGCGTCTGAATACTGTGAGCGAGTGTGTGTGTGTGACACACAGACAGAGGAGTGAACATGATCATGATTGTTGCTCAGGTAGTGATAGTCAGGTTAATCACTGTTATAAACCAGAGGTCATGTGCTCTACTAATGCGCTGATGAGGTGAATCAGGTGTGTTTGAGAGAGATGTGCAGTGCTGGGGGGCATTGGAAACCCCTGATCTAAGCTTATGTGGGAGCACAGAATCTGCTTCACCTTTCGCTACTGAAACTCTGCATTATAGTTCTCCGCAGCGAGGTAATAATGTCGCAGCTTCAATATTAGAGGCTGAGAATTAACTTCCTACAACAAGACTACATGTACATTTTAGATCCAGGGCTCCTAGACCAAAAAAAGTCACTTAAGGAGCCATTGGCTCCTATAAGGAAAAAAAAATTTATAACAAAAACGTGTTCATTCAGTGGCACTTAAACAGTTTCTTTTATTTTTATTTTATTTTTTTAACACCAGTCATACTGTCATGTTTGTCTGATCTTTTCTTGTCTATATCAGCATTTTAATCCATCTTGTAGATGTCCTGGGAACTAAGGTTCACTTGAAGTGGGAACTAAACGTCTTTTCCAACTTGAACTATATACAGTTGCAAAGAATTGATTACACCGAATCTGTGCAAATATCACAGACCGTAACTATATCAGCATCACTTGGTCATTGAGTGTAGTTTGGGCTCCTAATCAATGCATCCTATAAATTAGGGGTGTGGCCGAAGCCGAATACTTTTGTCGAAAAGGCACATATAATGGCTTCAAAACAAATAATGAATAATTCTGCTGAATAATATTCGGCTGAGGCTGACAGTCACTCCTTGTGTTTGCTGGATAACAGGTGAGCCGAGGAATCCGCGCAATATTACACAAACCTATAAAGTCACTACGCAATGAGTGTGAAGTGAATGAGTGTAAACTGTATGAATGAAATGAAAGCAAATCAAACAACCGCACTGCTGTTGCATCTCCGTGCATCTCTCAGAAATCAGAGCTTGGCAAGAGTAATATCATCTAAAATACTTCATACGTTCTACTATTTGTGTATATTTAAATGTCAATGATTTAAACCTTGCACTGTATGATACACGAATGAATGGAATAAGCACAGTGCGATCAAACTCAAACAGCCACGTTGCCGTCTCTGCGTGTCATACATTTTTCTACGCCTGCGATTTTTAACGCGATTTTTCTGTAGCTTGTCAGTGAGCTACGGCTCTGTGTAGTAAATGCTGCTCCATCTGAAAGCACGTGCTGGAGATTTACTACTAATCACAGGAGCGGCTTTACTGACGAGATGCACATGAAAATTGTTGCATTCTTATGTAGACAACAAGTTAAGTAAAAATATGAATATGCAAATAGCGAATATATTTAGCAAAATGCTAATTTTTAGTTAGTTTTTTATATCAAAATTATAGTTACGTTTTCCGCAGTTTGAAACCCTGAATGAGCGATTAGACATTTCAGTACTCTGTACTGTATCTTATAAAATACCTTTTGATGTCCATTCATGTTTATTTCGTACAGTAAAGAGAAAGATATGACTGGTTCACGAGCCGTTTGAACTGAGGCGCTAAAGCGAATGCTCATGCTACATTAAAGAGCGCCAAAACAGTATTTATTGTTTGAATTTCGTTATGAATTTGGCAGAATTTTACTTGGTTTATTTAAAGGTAGCGGAGCACAAAGCTTATTGCGGTTATCGGACAGCAAGTGCACTACAAATAATATGACGCTCACGCGCTAAAGCGAATGCTCATGCTACATTAAAGAGCGCCAAAACAGTATTTATTGTTTGAATTTCGTTATGAATTTGGCAGAATTTTACTTGGTTTATTTAAAGGTAGCGGAGCACAAAGCTTATTGCGGTTATCGGACAGCAAGTGCACTACAAATAATATGACGCTCACGCATTAACAGAACACAGCATTTAGACTAAAGATCTTGATAAGAAGCCATATTAGTATCGATTAGCAGTATCGTTCAGAATTCTCCTTTATAATGTCCACACAGCTGACAGCTTTACCTGTTGTAGTTTCATTTTCACTCTCCCTCATGCTGCCACAACTGGAGCTGCTTTTAGCATTTGTGCCGTCAACGCTGGTGTTTGGCAGAAATGAGGACTGTTTGAATTTATTTTTATTTATTTTTCCCCACTAAAACTGATGCGCATCGTCTCCGTTTATTACGTTAACGTAACAAAGGATGTGATCGCAAAACAAGCAGGAAAAAAGGCATTACATGCACATTAAGTCATAACATGTAAATTTATATAGTCGCCAATAACGATCTCACAAAAATATAATTTGCTAATATTTTTGGTTTAGTCTCAAATCAGTTTTTGTGTTTTAGTCACAGTCTGGAGGCCTGAGATCTGTGTGTTGTCTGCATAAAAATGGTAATTAAGGCAGCGTGATCTCAAAAGCTTCCTAAGTGGAAATAAATGGATACTAAGAAGTAAAGGGCTTAAAATTGAACCTTGGGGGACACCAGTATGAACGGCTACAACCTCAAACCTGTAACCAGCTACGATCATAAACCCCTTTCACACTGCACGTTGGTCCTGGAAAGTTGCCGGACTGCCTTCTGTGTGAATGCAAACACGTTCATTGATTCCAGGATCGATTCCGGGTTGGGGACCTAGTAACATTGCCGGGATCAGTCCCGGAACGAGCCCTGTGTGAACACAAGCCAGAACCAATGCCGTAAAGCAGTGGTCGCCAACAGGCGGCCCGCGGGGCAAAACTGGCCCGCCAGCAATAATATCGGTCCCGCGCCCGCAGTCAGATTATTTTGATAGCGGCTGGTTCTGAAATAGATCTGTCATGACAGCAACAGTTACTCAATCACTTTGTCTTTAGTGATGTTGCCTTCAAAATAAAAGTATGAGAACGTTTTTGCAGTAATGTTTTATTTTTAGATGAATTGAGAGCTTTTAATTTGAAAAGTTCTGAGACATTCAAAAGAGTCCATTTATATTCTTTGCAAACAGCAACAACTTCGTTGCAGATAAGACACATCGGCTTTGCATTCACAAAACCAGCTAGGATGAACGCATAGTTGTCTTTCCATTCTTCTTTGTATGCCTTTTCACTGTCAACTTTCCTCTTTAGACTCTTTGATAGTGCAGTTTTCTCTCACCAGCTAGCTTAAATGTTAACATCACTCTGCACACGACGTAATAGCGTACCTCCAGCACGCAAAACGATTTTTAAAAATGCAGTTTAGTACGTGAGGATGCCAAGGAGTAATTCTGAGTGTAAAAGTAGGCTACGTCAAATAATTATTACAGCAAGTTAGGCTTTAAAATTATACACTTATTATTCACAATATGGAAAGAGGAAATAAAACGCAGTTCGTTAAGAGCATGACTCAAACATGCCATTAATGGGCTTTTTCAAGTCCTCTTTTATTTTGAGTTCTTTTTATCCATTCTGCATCTCCCACATATGTGTGTTTTAGCAAGGCGATCTGTGTTGCAAGTTGGTGAATGAAGGTACTTGCCAGGTTACGCGTCACTACTCTGCTTTATTAATTTATCCAGTGTAAAACCCGGACACCGCCACACAAATACGGCTTTCTGTTAAATCCTGTAGTAGGACAGTCATTAACACAGAGTAACCGCTCACTACCAGTTACAAAAGACACTGTAACAGTCTGTCACGGGCAATTCTAGTTGCATTTTTCATCAATTAATTTCTTAAATTATCCTTTGACTATGTTCTGGGC